CTCAGAGTGTCAGTTCTTCTCTTTCTCCATGGGTCTTTGGCAGGATGACCTCAGGTCATCAGGCTCACTGGACATTTGTGTTAGTTTGTTTGGAGACTGGGTCTCAGTAGGCAGCTCTGCTTCTCCCGGAACTGGATCTGTACAGCAGACTCCCTTCTTATTCACATGGCTGTGCCTGCCTCAGATTCCTGAGTGCTAAGAGTAAAGTCCTGGTCCACACCAGGCTCCCCTGGAACTACCCACATCTTTCTTTCTTTCTTTCTTTCTTTCTTTCTTTCTTTCTTTCTTTCTTTCTTTCTTTCTTCCTTCCTTCCTTCCTTCCTTCCTTCCTTCCTTTCTATCTTAACTTCTTTATTCCCTCCTTTCTTCTGTCCTTTCTTTTCTCATACAAAATCTCAGTTAATCTTCTGTTGCTGTGAAGAGATACCATGTTCATAACAACTCTTGTAGAAGAGACCATATAATTGCGGCTTGCCTACATTTTCAGATTTTCTTCCATTTTGGTTCTGGTGGAAAGCATGCTGACACACAGACTGGCATGGTGTTGGAGAGGTAGCTGAGCATTCCACATCTCCATCTCCAGGCTGCAGGAAGAGAGAGACACTGGGTCTGGCTGGGCATTGGAAACCACAACGCCTACCAACTGATTTCACACCCACAATTCCTCCAACATGGCCCCACCTACACTAAGAGCACACTGCCTCCTGATCCTTCTCAAGGAGTGCTGTTCTCTGATGACTAAGCAGTCAACTCAAGAAGCATGTGAGGGCCACTGGTACTCCAAACATCACCTTCCACTGTCTGCCCCTCTCTGGCTGGTAGCTCTATCACAACGTGGAAATGAATTCAGTCCAATTTCAAGATTCTGCAATGTCTATCACAGTGACACCAGGGTTACAAGTCACAAGGCCATAGGTTAGTTGAGAAAACCCTGTCCTGCCAGTTGGCGTGGCCAGAGCTCTTGGGAAAACTCTCCTGGGGGTCTGAGAGACTGACAATTCACACACACACACACACACACACACACACACACACACACACACACACCTACACATACAAAATCAGTTGTGATGTAGGTCTTAAAGCCTGAACACCACAGAAATACAGACAGACAAAGTGAGAGAGTGAATATCACTTTCAGGAATGGAACACACTCAATCATTATCAAAAAAAAAAAAAAATCTGTTGTCTGGTTTGAAAAGGATGGCCAGGATCAAGAGAGAACATGGAGGACATAATCCAGTTGAATGGAATTTGCGGTTTTTTTCCTGGGGGTGTGGCCTGTCGATGGGCGTGTCCAAAGCCTTCCTTTAATAATCCTCCCTTGAAGGCAGTCATCCTGGACCCAGGCTCATTTCCCAGTGAGCTCTCAGGAAGACAGAGGCAGAGGGGAGGCTGTGGCAGCAGACAGACCTGAGTGAATCACCAGTCAG